GCAGATACCTGATGCAGGATTTCGTCCATTCGCCGACATGCCTCTTTTAAAGAGCGGCTTGGCATCAATACTAAGATTCAGGGTTTGGAAGGGATGGGCCGGAACCGAAAATCGATGCAGGATTTCGTCCATCAACAGTAGCGAGACCTTCAGCGGGAACTTGCGAAGCACTATGCGCAGTGGCACCCGACACAAGCAGTAGGTGCTTGCGATCGACAGAGCTTCCAGCCTCGACGAGGCTTCTGTAGCATCTGATTGTTCTGATCTCGAGGAATCAGATGCGCGATGCTCAAGTCCTCTACGGCGGTGTACCAGGCCGGACATAGTTTCGACAGTCTCTCTTGCAGGCGTACTGTCGGAGGCAAAGAAGAAGTCCTTCGGGAGATGGTTATGTGTAGACAAGCACATGAGTCGATGCCCGAGTCCGTGGCTCTGAAGGCCTCCAGAACGCTCAGCTCGCCTTCGTCTTCACCCTGGAGACCCCCTCCTTGGAGGGAACTTTCAGGATCCTGGAGGTTGTCGCTCCCTCGGAGATCTCGCTCTCCTGACTCTTGGAATTTATATTGGAGCTTCAGAGTTGAGGGTGGGTTTAGGGTTTAGGGTGGCTCATTGGAGGGTTTGTGGCAACATCCTTCAAGTTTCTGTCCGCAGTCTCCGGTGCTAGCGGAGCTCTTTAGATGCGATCCGTATTCATCTTCTGCACGACCTACGTGCTGCATGAACTGGTGTAGCAGTCGGATCGGTCTTGTTTGAGAGAGCGGTAGGATTTTGTTGGCCAAGGCGACCGACTGGAGCATTTAACGCTGCCAGATGCGGTGTGTGCTGAGCAGGCACCCGCAGCACGAAGCCACGAACCCCAGCCGCAGCCTCTGTCGTATGCTGAGTTCTTTTAGCAACTTTTCAGTGAGTGAGCGCGAACTTCTGTATCGAATCTGTGCTTCTCGTACCTTGCTGGACCGCAAACCGCCTGGCGAAAGTGCACCTGCCCGGTTGGCCAAGCCGTGCGAATTGGGCATCGGAATGCGAGAGTATTTAGAATACTGTAGGATTTTGTGTGTGTGTGTGTTTATGTAAATATACATATAATATAGGTTACATTGTTCTATTGTATTATCTGCAAGACCAAGCTCTGTAAGTTGGAGCGGCAGGGCCCCGGCTTCGCGCGGCTGGAGTTGGAGGAGTCGTTGCAGCCAGGACGAGCTGCTGCTTTGCGTGGTTGTGCTGTAAGACAGCAGGCGAAGACATGTCGGATAATGAGACAAGGCACTGCTGTTGCTAATTAAAGTCGTTGTTGCTGTTGCCGGTGCATCGGCACCTTCTACATCTGCTGCCGCCGCTGCTGCTGCTGCTGCTGCTCAGCTCATCCTCCTCCTCTTCCTCCTGCTGCTACGACTACTGCTACTGCTGCTACTGCCACGGCTGCTACTGCCACGGCTACTCGTACAGGTACTGCTACTGCTGCTGCTACCTACTGCCACTGCCACTGCCACTGCTGCTTCTGCTGCTCTTGGTGCTGCTACTGCTTTTGCTAATGCTAGTCGCAATGTTGCTGCTACTGCTACTGCTGCTACTACTACTACTACTACTACTACTACTAGTACTACTGCCACCACAACTTCTCCTACTCCGACTGCTACAACTACTACAGACTACTACAACTACTGCGACTACTACCACTACTACGACTACTTCGACTACGACTACGACTACGACTACGACGACGGCGACTACTACCGCGACGACGACTACAGCTCTTCACACAACCAAAGATTCGGCAGTGTACACAGCAGAGAGACTAGCAGTGATAGTACACAAAACAACAACCATAGAATCACTCCAGCGATCAGGCCACCTGAATGCTCCTTTGCCTTGCCAGGAACCTTTTCCTTCACCGTCACGGGCGAGCTTCCAAGCCGTCTTGCTGCAAGCCGAAGAGCCGAAAGATGCGGCAGTGCAGAGCTGCCAGAGCAAAAGAATAGCATGTTAACAGGCAAGCAGTGCGCGGTGCTAGTTTATATAGCAGAACATAGGCATATGGTCAAAGCTTTCAACATGCCAGAGCACAGTATCTCACTCTGCCCATTACCTTGCCGTCAAGGCCAGACCCCACAGCAGAATGTCTTCTCCATTGTCATCCGGCGGTCACCAAGTCCCCTGGCGACGACTTGACATGAAAGCTCTCCTGGCATCCCGAAGGGCCCCTAGTATATAAAAAGTAGAAAATAAAAGTAGAAAATAGCATATAAAAGTATTTTATAGTGTATAATAATATCTCATTGAATACAAGAGTAGAGAATAAATAGTATGTAAAAGTACCTAATAGAAAAAAGGTGTACATCCAAGAACATCAGCTGCGCTTTGGGCCAGAGGTGAGCATGTCGTGGATGCTGCCTTTGACTTCGTTGGCTGGCAGATCCGAGATGCACCTTGGAATGGAATGGAAGATCAGCGCGGGGAATTCGAGAAAGGCTGGGTAGCTCGCGACTGCCATCCACTTTGCTCGACATGCCTATTCTGTTCTCTGCTCTCGTCATCAAATGTCCTTGAGAGGTCCCGTCAGTTGTTGCTTTTGTTGTTGCATGGTTCTGGCAATCACCCTGCGCCGTTGTCCTTGTTGTTGATGTTGGTGTTCGCATTGAAGTCTCTGCGTTGCTGGTGCTACCTGTAGCCATGACATATCTGTTGCTGACAAAGTGTTCCAGTAACCGGTAACTGTTCCTGCAGTCATCTAGTGTAGAGCAAGTGGTCGTGGTGCTGGTGGTGGTTGCGGTGGTGGTGGTCGTCGATAGTAGTAGCATCAGGTGGTCGTGGGGGGTGGTAGTGGTGCTAGTGGTGTTGGTAACTGTTAGTAGCAGCAGTAGTCGTAGCAGTCGTCGTCGTCGTCATCGTAGTAGTCGTGGTTGTAGGTTTGGTTGTATTGTTGCTGTTGCTGTTGCTCTTCTGCTCCTTCTTCGTTTTGTCGTCGACGTCGCCCCCGGCGTCGTCGTGTGGTCGCTTCCTCGTCCTCGTCCTTGCGTGCGCACGAGTTTTATCCTTGTCGTCGCGCTTTGCGGGCGGTGCTCCAATCAGGATCATAGGCGATCGCATAATGGCTGAATGCCGGGAAACATAATTATTTTCAGCTCGGCATCGTCGCCAATTCCCCACAGGAAAAGTCTCGTTTTGTGCCTTTCCCACACCCCGCCCCTGCCACGACGAAGCAAGGTGTCGATCTCCCAGCCAGTCCTGGCGTGGTCTGCAGCCAGCTTTCAGGAGAGCCCTGGCATCCTGGGCCAGTGATTCCGCCTTGAAGTTATGATGGGGAGTAGCTTCAGCACAACCGAGGATATCCACTGTTACCATCTCCTTTACAGTGCAACTGGCCACCATTGCGCTCCGAGCCATGCTAATTAGTTGCTTGGCGAGAGCAAAGCCAGGCCGCCAGGGTAGGAGCCTGCTTTCGCAGTCTGCTGGGCCTTTGTTAAGGAGCTATGATTCAGTTGTAACGGGGATCGATCGGAAAGAATAGGGTTTCCTGATTATGGTAGCTTAAACCGAAGTTCCTTAGCACGAAGCCACTTTAGGGTCGTAGCCTGTTACCTTGGGCAGTTTGCGCAAAGAAGGAACACATGAACCGTTCTTCGCACCGACCCGAGAACTTGCAAGGTTTGCCTCCTGGCTTTCAGCACCGCGTCCGAAGCGTGGAGGAGTTCAAGGTCTCCAATCAGCGACCCTTGAAAACAACCGTTCGTCTTCCGGGTATAGTGTTCAAACTACTACTGCAACAACAACAACAACTACTACTACTACTACTACAACTAATTACTACTACTGCTACTACTATGACATACAATCATATTCTGTTATGGGCTACTTATTCATCGAAAGGTGTGCAGCAGGAAGGCCCAAGGTGAGAGGCCCTTGGCCAGTCGTGTTCGCCTCGAATCCACAGCGACTGTCTACACCAATAGTATAACATACTATATTATATTGCTTTATGCTATATGCATCATAAACGTACTGCAATATGATATGCTGTTATATACTAATAGTATAAAGTAAACGCCCATCGCTCAGGATTGCCGCTGCTGAAGGGATCGACGGACTGGCTGGATGTGTCAGTGTTGGACCGCATCCTCATCTCCCTCGAGCCCGAGGACCATGTGCTGCTTACAGGGTCGTGCAATTACAGCTTAGAAAAAAGAAAAAACAGCGTATAATGTAGCATTTTCTGATGTTGTTTCGCAAGAAAGTTGCGGAGGCAGCACCAGTGTGCGAGCCAAATTCGATATGGATTTGACAGTACAGTCGATGGTGCCGCAGGATCCTGCAGTGGACGTTGGGACCTACATGTTCTCGCTCCTTGTCTCAAGATTTCACATCTGCTGCCCCGGGGTTCGAAAGAAGGGACCAAATAGTCGACGTACATTCTATGGCGCAGTCAGGGAACCCCAGTTTTTTTTTTTTCGCAGGGCGACCATGTCTGTGTGAGCCCTTGAGAGCAGCAATGAGCTTGATGCTGCCTGGGCCACAGGCGGTCGTTGTGTACACTTCTTTCTCAACTTTTGCAGAGGGCCTACTGCATGGCAGTCAGGTTTCCGGTGGAGATGCCGGTGGCTGCAGAGCTTCCCTCTGTGAACCTTTGGCAGCTGAGCTTCTGCAACAGCCGCTATTGTGTCATTTGGACTTCAAGCAGTGGGTGTGCTGATTGTTGTGAGGACGTTCAAGGGCAGCGGCAGCGCTGGCACGACTTCAGCAACAATAGCCATGTGTGCTAAGGTTCACCCCAAGGACGAGGCGAGCCCACATGCCGTCGGAATTGAGCCTTTTTCTCTATACGCAGAGTCTTAGGAGGACTAAGATACGCTCCAGGGTTAAGCTTTCCCCCGCCAAGTGACAGGCTGTGCTCGTCTCCTTCCCTCTCCCCGGCTTCTTGCCGGGTGAAGTCTCTCTGCTGGAGCAGCGCCGCCAGCAGCTCGCGCAGGAGGCATTTCGAGGGTTGTAGGCATGGAGCAACCTGCAGGCACTGCAGGAATATGACAGGTCCAAAAATATATAAGATGTGGACCTAAACCTGAATACCAAATACCACAAACTATTCTGGGGGTTCCTTATTATGCTTATAGCATACTATACATCAATACCCTATTCTAGTTAGTTATTTTTGGCGGTTCCTTGTTATGCTTGTAGTATACTAAGCATCAATACCCTATATTCTAAGGCCCCCCAAAAGTGCCTTCTGAAGCATACCTATTAAAGCCTAGAGTTTAGGGTTTAGGGTTTAGGGTTAGTAAGGCTGAAGAACGGCAGATGAGGCAATGCTGGCAGTCATCAAGTCCGGTTTCAAAGGGTTAGTAAGGCCCCTTTAAAGTGCCTTCTGAAGCCGAGAGGCAGCCGGGCGTCCCGAGACCGCCTCGGCGAGCAGGTGCCCTGGGCCGCACCGGGCATGGCGGATACCTCTCTCCCTGTCTCTGAAGAACACAGTGTAGTATAATATAGAAGAATATAGTACAGTATAGTATGGTATAGTAGAGTCTAGTATAGTATAGCAGAGTAGAGTCTAGTATAGTCAGTATAGTCTAGTATCGTAGAGTATAGAACCGTGTGGTTATATTATTCTGCAGCATGGTGCCGTGTAGTATGGTGTTTTTGTCTCAGGATGCGCTGGAGCATTCTTCCTGGCGTGGCTGTGCTTCTATGGCCCTAAGACGGAAGCAGAGTCACCAGAATCTCAACTGGAAGATCCACGACCCCGACACTCTCGGACACGGCGCGGGCTGATGTGCGAGGAGAAGTAGGGTTGCAGCCGGCGCAACTGTGGTGCGCTGCCCTTGGAGCATGCGCTGGCTGCCTCTGAAGAGTCACGGCTAGGTCTAGAGCGAGGTCGGGAACTGGACTCGAGGCTCGGGAGGTGGAGGTCGCATCCAAGGCCTCGATGCTGGTATTGGAGCAGAGGGGGGCGGAGGCCCCAAAACGTCCCTTCCCTGAAGCACGCCAGTCTGAGGAGTTCAAACTATGGCGAGGGCCTCTAGTCAGAAGCACGGAGGCATGATTGCCAACACGGTCTCCAAGAGACATGGCATTCTGCACAGGTTTGCACGAGCAGGAAGGGACCAGGATTCCAAAGAGTTTCCACCCGTTTCATGAGACGCGAAAAAGACGCCACGCCATGCCTTGCAGCAGGTGTCAGACACGGATCTTACCTGGCAGAGGCAACACCGTCCTCTCCGCGCAAGAGAAGGCAAGGCATTGGGCACCGCTGGTCAGAGCACACGCTGCTGCCTTCCGGTTCTGGGAACCTTCACTATGAGAGCGTCACAGATAGTGATTCGTTCGAAACTGCCAGCATCTCCGACTGCTTGTACAGTGAGCTCCCTGAAAGATGGAGGAAGCCGCCTAGGATCAGTTTAGATTTTGGCACAAGCATTGACGACTGCTAGGATTTGGCAGAAGCCGCGCTTTTTTTTTGCCATTTGAGCCATGACCAGCTTGCCCTCGAAGAGGCTTCTGGTTCTGATTGCTTGCCTTGTCGGGCTGACCTGTCCTACTTGGGGACGGTCGGCGGAGGTGTCCTTGTTGGAGCGATCGAGCTGGAAGGGCCAGAGCTCCACGCGCTTGGATGGTTCATTGCTGGGCAAGACGAACTGTGGCATCGCTGCTTGTTGCAACCATTGCCCTGTCAATTTCAATGTGAACGTCAATTTTGCCAAGATTTCACAAGCAATTGCTTCAATGGGGGCGGACATCAAAAAGCTGGATTCCGATTTGCAGAAGATGGTGAAGGAAATCGGGGAAGGACTCCAAGCCCATTGCCAAGGCGATCTCTCAGCTGGATGCTGGCATTCTCGCTGTGGGCGCAGCCCTCCTTGCTGACCTCTCAATCATCGAAGGACAGCTGGCAGGCAAGATCGATTTGAGCATACTGGTAAGCGAAGCTATTGATGCCGTCCAGCAGATCAGGTACATCCAGAAGACGTACATGAATCCGCTGATGCACAACCCGCGGGCGTTCCCGGAGGAAACATTGCAGCAACTGCAGAACGACATCCTGGAACCGACGCGAGGTATCGGCTTCCAGCTGAGCAAAATCCAAGATGCAATGGCTGGGCGAGGCTTTCCAGGTGTCAAGCCTTTGCTCCAGACCTATCGAGAGAATGGCGCTGGGTTCTTACAGCTGGGAGAGGTCTTCGGTTTTTTCCTGGCCGTGCAATTCTATGGCAGTGCTCAGCTATACTGGGCTTCGCTAAAGACGTTTGGAGGTAGCCACAGTGTCGACTTGGCCGGCTACAACCGGACGCAGAATAACCAGATAACCGCTCTCCAGGAGCAGCTGCTTGCCAGTTGGGGTCCCAGCCAGTACTTACATCCGTGCCTTTGGGATGGAGGCTGGAACTGCGCGGTCGAAGAGTGCGACTTCCACAGTGCATTTTATCCATTGCCATTGCCAACGCAATATACACCAAACCCTGCAAGCCATTATTTTTGCAACACCATCTCCGCGGGTTCCCGCTTCCAGATCTCAGTAGCTGAGAGGGAACAAAAGGCCAACGCCGTCGTAGCGGTTGCAAGGCAAGCAAACCTGGCGTTATCGTTTGGGTGTTGCTACGATAATAACACTCAGAAAGTTGAGTGCTGTCTTAGAGTACAGTCATACCAGGTTTTTGACACACATGGGAGAAATTGGTACTGTGTTGATCCTCCAGAGACATTTCCAGCGAAATTTCGAGCAGCCTGGCTGACTGTTTCGACTAACCAGACACACGCAAGCGCTGATGGTGGCTTCTATTGTGGCCGGGATTTCACGTTTAACATCCTGTCCATCCCCATGGCGAGCGCTGAAGTCGGTGTTGCTTTGACGCTGCTGGACAACGCCTCATTGCAGCTTTGTGCGGGTGATTCTTGTGAGCTTGTCCCACTAGTTGCGTTAGGTTTTGGACCGAACATCACTACCTCTTGGGAGAATCGAGAACTACCTCACCCGATTGCTTACAAGGGGTGCAAACGCATTCATCCTGCAGACTGGGTGACGGTGTCACCTAAAGCCGGTGCTTCGGGACTTCGCTGCGCGGGCTTATGTCAACACCATGACTTATCGACAATACCAACAAGAGGTTATGTGTCCTCTTCCTCCACTGCAGACGGCGCATGCATGTGTAGCTGGGTTCTTCCACAACAAGATTGTCCTGGCGAGTGCGTAGCATGCCCACAACTGCCGGCTACATGGTGTTCCAAGAACATGACTACTGCAGCCGTCTATACGTGGGACCCCTTCGACTCCGACACAGGCAACCTCCAGTTTGTCTGACGCGCTGCGCGGATTGCCCTGAATCTGAGAAAAGATTGCAAAGGGAAAGTAAGAGCCAGGCCATGCCGTTGGCTGTGAAGCATAGCGCTCATCCTGCCTCAGCGGTTCGTCATCTGTTTCTGCCTGCAACAGGCTGGCTTCTGGTCTCGAGCCCTCCAGCTCTCCAGATCTTCCGCCTGCCTGGGTGCTCCTGGCCTCGGATTTGAAGCTTAGGTCTTAGGCAACAGGTCTGACGCTTCGAGCACCTGTCCGAGAGAGAGAGAGAGAGGTCTTAGGTAGCAAAAAGGGGCATAGGGAAAGGGGCATAGGGATTCGCTGGAGTGCGCACTCTGCAAAGGGTCTTAGATTGCTGGTTTGTGGTATTTTGTTCAGTTTGGGACACTCAGTCTGGTTTCACGCCGACCTCGTACCATGAACCTCGCCTGGCATGTCCGAGTCGTGAGAGCGTAAAAGTATGCACAGGACAAGCTTGAAGTCCTTACATGGCAGGTGTCGATGTCGTTGCCTATGGCCATGGCCTCACCTGCTTTTTGCACATGCTGCTGTTGCGGAGTCGAAGCCTAAGCTGAGGGTTTCGGGTTTGGTTTTGACGGCGTTTAATGGATTCACGGCGTCAGGGTTGCGGGTTTCGCTAGGCAGGGGTGGCAAAGCCTGGATCGTAGAATTGCCGTAGATGCCAGTGATGCGCACGCACGCCGGTTGTGTTGACGGAATCGATAGGCATAGATGATCGTAGTTCGATGATTGGCTAGTGCATCGTCCAGCTGAAAGTAGATCATATATGTTGACGATTTGTATGTGTGTTTAAATTAAATACATACACACTGAAGCATATAATACGGTTGCATGTGCATGTATACGTGCAACAAAGCTTGTGAGTTTGCACGGTGCGCAGGCAGCACCATCAGCGCATGTGGCGGCCAAGCCAAGGCCGAGATTGGCTGTTGAGTGTTGCACTTCAAGACACTGGGGTGGGTGTAAATACTTTGAGGATTTGTGGAGTCATTAGGCAGGCTTCTAGCAGGCTCTTCTGTAAGGCCTCCGGGGGGGCTTGAGTTCTTGCAGGTAACACGGGTAGGAATAATATGTGATATCAGGATTTGGCGGATTTCTTGCTTGTATGGCTTTGGGCTTGAGAGGGTTATAGGACCGGCATTAGAGAGAAGTTAGAGTCTAAGGTGGAGTCCCACAGTATTTACACTCGTCTTTGTGAAGTTGCCTAGTACTCCATGCAGGCACAATGACGGTAATTGCAGATGGGTTGCCTGAACCCCCCCCTGAACTGGCAAATCGGATACACGACGCTTTCCCGTTCTGCGAGTGTGCGGGTGTTGCACAGGGCTGGCAGCCTGCCCTGCACCTCGTGACGGAGTTGTCTTTCCGCAGAGTGGTGCCAGATGTGGCTGGATGCCCGGGTCCAGGGTTTAGGGTTTAGGGTTTAGGGCAGGCTGTGTTTCCAGATCCAAGGCCAGCCCACACTTCGTTAGGTCGTTGGCACTTCGGATATCACCTTTCCTGAACAAACTTGTGCTAGTCTAGGCATGGTGGTGGGGAGACGGTGTGGGCCCGTTGGCTTCAGAAGGTTAGGTGGAAATATTCATCGCTCTCAAAGATGCGAAAAACCCCTGAGACTTTCCAACCACGGGGGCCTCAGGGGCCGGGGCGAAGGTCGTGACGCATGGAACCTCCGAAGGCAGCAGAATGCGCGGTGCTGCCCTGGGAACGGCCGAAACCCAAGGTTGCCTGCAACGCAGCGGTTTCCGCTCTTGCACAATCCACTGGCTGGGAGGAGGCCAGTGATTCCTAATCCATTGTAACTGACATCTTCTGATATGATATGTCTGGATATGTTTATGTGGGTAGTCACATGTGCATATGTTTTTAGATCTAGTTGTGACCTGACACAGGCAGAAGAGCTGCTTCAGTCCCTGAGCTGTCTGTGGACACAGAGATCTCGAATTTCACTCAACAGCTGTCCGCCCCTGAGGTGACTGGGAGCTGCTGTCGTGCAAACATGGTTAAGGGCATCGCAAATAGGCTTTAGGGAAGGAAGGGCCAACTTTAGGGTTATGGTCATCTTCATCATCATCATCATCCGCATCATAGCGAACACTCGGGCAAGCAGCGACAGTATTTGGCATCATGTTCATCATATGGTGCATGGTTTGTCTAGGAAGGTTTCTGTTTCATCACTTTGCACTTGAGTATTGGCTTGCCATCCATGGGATTCCGGCAACTGTTCGAGGGCGGTGCTGGGCCTCAGCATTGCTGACCTGGCGTACCTCGTCGGAGGTTTGGTGAAGTGCTTCGGCCGAATTCTCGACGGCTCAGCAGCACAGGGCAGATCAGGCATCTTCGGCCGGTGCAGGCAGGACGGCGGTGGCCGATGCTGCATCGAGAGTTCGGATGTGTCTCGTCATGGACAACGGCTTAGCCAAGAGTTATGGCAACACGCAACATGGCTCTGCTGGCCAGCCCCCCGAGATGATGTCTCTCTTTTTGAAGACGCCAACGGCGATAATGCAGCGGACCTCCGAGATGCGCTACCTCCCATTGAGCTCGGCACGGGTCGAACGGTAAAGAAGATATAGCAGTTGGTGAAATGCACATGTGTGTCATTTTGGACAACGACGGCCTGAAGTGTTGGGGTCAGGGCCAGGGCGGTCAGTTGGGAGCGATGTAATCGACCGTGGTGAAACGGCTGAGTCGATGGGGCGATGGTCTTCCCTACGTGGATCTGGGAACCGGGCGAACGTCGACCGCACCTGCGCGCACCTGGTCGATGACACGAACAAGTGTTGGGGGAGCAGTTGCAATGGACAGCGTGCGCGGGATACGAGCTCCAACATGGGAGATGGTGCGAACGAGATGGGGGACTATCTTCCACCAGTCTTCCTGGGTGACGGTAGGACGGCCAAGGATATGGCTGCAGGGTATAAGATGACATGTGCTGCTTTGGATGATGGCAACCTGAAATGCCGGGGCTGGGGCAACAGGCAGAGTTAACAGGAGGGGCCGGAAGCCTCATCTGGTCCGGCACACTCTGCAAGTGAAATAGGGGTTCAGTGTTCAGGGTTCAGGGTCTACTCTGATAGCAGTAGTGGCGGTGGTGGTGGTGGTAGAAGAAGAAGTAGTAGTGGCAGCACTGTTACTTACTACTACCGGCAATGGTAACAACATCAACAGTTGATACAAGAAGAATACTAAGACTTGTAACAACAATTTCCTAATGCTGACAGCAGTAATACCGATAAGAATGCTAACAGGGTCTTTTTTGGTAGGGTCTCTGTGTGTCGAGGCGCCGATGCCAGTGCCAAGGCGGGACTCGGGTAGGCTGCTCGTCAGTGGCCCGTGATGTCCAACTTTTGGATCTGTTCAGGGGGGTTACTGTTTTAGGGCTTGGGGTGTAGGGGACATAGAGAGGTTTTGGGCAGTAACTGGCAAAGAGAGCCTTGGGCATGAGGGAGATGGAGGGGAGTGCTTTCAGAGCTCTTCTTCTCGGCCTGTCAAGAGCAACATCCTCAGTACGACAGAGCCGCCATGATCGGAGAGTTGCGGTTGTTGCGACTGTTGCCGCATGCATCAGAAAGTGCCGTAGGCTGCAATTTAGGCTTCCTACTTTATGGGGAATGAGGGGTCCCCTCTGTTGCATTCCATGTCCATGGGTGGTGTTGTGGTTTGTGAGCTGATATTCCACATAGTTCAACCCTTCTTCTACTTTAGGTGTCGAACAAACACAGGCACGGCAGTGGAGGCGGCCGCTTCACTGGATCGGAACTCTAGCCTGGCTCTAAGAATTCCCTGGCTCTAAGAGTTGCCTGAAGATGTTGGCAGCTCGAGGTTACTTCAAATCGATTGGACTGTCGCAAGTGTTTTTTGGGCTGCCGCCCCGTGCAGTATTGGTATACTGTGCCATATTATACTTATATTATACTGTACTATACTATGCTATACGACACTATATTTTGCTACAGTAACATACTAGAGACGGCTACAATATGCTACCACATAATGTAAGTTTACGAGAGTTCCTCGCAAGAACGCGCATGCTCGGAGGTTACCTCGGGCACTGCCGAGCGCGCAGATGCCACGAACTGAGACTTTGTATGACTGAGTTCTTGTTAAAGGATGTAATTTAAGTTACCATAATAAGGAAACCATAGTATTTATTTTTTATTATAGATCCCTTAAAGAAGAGCCCTCATGAGCTTCCGAGGCTCTCTGAGGGCCCGAAGCCACGAATCCCCTTCTTGGTACTGCATCCTGATGTGTCATGCTGGAACATAGTGTCGACAAGGGAGAGCTGCTGTCAGCACATCATTCACTTTGGGGGCTTCTTCAGTTTAGAGAGCGGTCTGCGAAAAAAACGAGTCCCAGGAGGTGTCCTACACCACGAGCATCAGTGGCTTGAAGAAATGTGGCAGGCCCTGGCGCTGGAGCCTTACTTCAACACCTGCGAGGATCATGCTTGCTCTGCACCCCAGCTCCGATTGTTATGAAGTCCCTGAGGCACTGGTGTGGAGCCGGGCCCTTGGTTCTGAATCGGAGCTGTGCTGCAGACTGAAGCCATGCGTGTACGCTGCCGGTCAAGCCTTCGTCCTCCCAACATCAAACATGTCTCCAACCTGACTGAAGCACAGCAGAGGCTTCTTCGGAGCGCGGCTTCTTCGACGGTGGAGATTAATTTTGCGACCTGCAATGTGCCTCGGCTCGGTGCTGTCTAACTGCATGAACAAGTAGACTCCGAGGCACCCCGGAACACCCTGCCGTAATCTGGCTGTGATGGCACTACTCTCTAGCTGCTGATGTCTTGGATGGGCCGGAGCGATCTTCCATGATGACTTAAAGATTCGGGGAAATCAGTTGTTGTTATGACACAGCCCTAACCCTGAACAAGCTGGGTGGATGGAACAACCTTGGCCCCAGGTCAGGTAGGAGGCAAGAAGAGCCCCAAACTGACCTCGCTAAACCACCAGAACCTTAAACCCTAAACCCTTGGAACCTCGCAAGGCTTGTCCCAGTTGTGAGCGCTGAAACCCTAAAAAGATTCAGAGTGGCACACGTGGTGTCGCGCCGGCTGGCACCTGTTAAACCTCGCCTGGCTTGTCCGAGTTGAGAGCGTAAAACAATATACCACTGATCCATCACCCAAAACCCTGACTGGACCCTGCAATGCGGGCTTGTCCTAGCGAACCCTAGACCCTGATCCATCTCCTTGTGTCGATCGAGATTCAGGCGCTGATGGGTGCCTGTCAGCCTGGTGAGGAGGAGGACGACGAGGCCATGGCTGTTAAGGCTTTAAGGGTCTAGGGGATATGCTAAGCTGCTCTACTTTACACTGCTAGTACTATACTGGAGTAAGGCACATCGTATACTACTGATACTACTGTGTAGTTTAATCAAGCCTAATCTAACCTAATCCACTAGTACATAACAGAATTTATGGTATAGTATAATATCATAGTATAATGGTAGTATGTACAGTATAGTGTAGTATAATACAGTAAATGTATTATAACGTAAGAAACTGATTATGACATACTGACATACTCTCATATAACACTTGTGATCTGATGGCAAGAGAGAACAGCAGACATAAATCTCGTTGCAACAGCGGCTTCCATGCTTGAGCAACAGCCGCAGGGTTCGGGCTCAACAATTCCGGCAGGAATCGATGGTGATGATGGTCATGATGATGGTGATGATGCCGGGGCGCAGGTTGAAAGAAGCCTATAGGACGGTGCAAACGTCCTCGCAGGAGTTCCGAGCACTCCCACGTGTCATGTGTTGGAAAAGGGCTCACAAAAAAAAAAAAACAAGCCACTGGATTCTCTTTTTCCCTTGTCCTTCACTGGCTTTTCGCCAGGCAAAGCTTCTCTGGACTCCGGCGCTCTCCCTGCTTGCCAGAGCCCCGGTGGGTCAGAGCTGGGCCGTGGCCTCATAGTAGAGTAATGAAAATAAGGACTAACTAATAAAAATACTAACAACAACAATAACAACAATAATCATAGAAATAATGTAGAATATTATAGTAGAATGTACAAGAATATGGCATAATATGTTCGCATGTCGTAGAATAAAGTAGAATATAGCCATGACATATGATCCTCGTGGTCTGATGATCACGACCACGACATTCGCTGGATTTGGATCTGATGATCAGGACGAGATGGGGAGATGCTCGATTGAGATGACGCAGACCAGCTGTCGTGCCACTCAGAATTCGGCTTCGGTCGATCTGGGTTTAGGGTTTAGGGTTTACTCCGGGCGAAGTGGAACGCCTGTTGCAAACAAGGGGTTTAGGGCTTTGGGGCTTAGGCGGGGAGTTTCCCGGCTGGTTGCGAGAGTCCTGGATGCAAAAAGGGCTTAGGGCTCATCTAGATTTGTCACTTCAGTTGTGTTAACTATCATTTTGGACTCCTGGACCCACGACGGACCCCAAGCAATTGCAAGCTGTGCCTAGCATTCCATCTAGCCCTTGGGCTGCTCTGTTGGGAAGTGAGGCAATGTTCAGCTGAGCTGCCTTGAAGAGGGGGGCAAGGCGCCAAGCCCTCGCACTTGGATGGTTGCGATTGCGTCGCTGTTGTCCTGCGAAGCTCGTAGCCATGAATCTCCTTAATGATCCTCCCGGCATTGTGGCACTTGCCCTCCAATCCGGGCAAGTGCCGTGAGCTTCTATGACAACCTTTTCAAAGTTTGCGATGCGTATAGTACTGCTGCGTTCGCGCAGCGGCAGGGGGCGGCCTGCAGTTGCAATGCTGGATTATTATCATTAGTATTTTCATTACTATGACTACTCTTATTCTTCTTCTTGTTGTTGTTGTTGTCATTACCATTACTTTTCACTTCCATGCATCGGCCGGGAATTCTGTTCAGCTCTCAGTCTGAACTCGACCCTGGCAGGTGCCCAAAGCTCGGTCAGCCTGGCTGCCCTTCAGCTGAGCAGGTTTTGACACTTGCAGGGTCGTTTGAGGTTGTTGTGGCCCAAGTCCATTTCGGAGTGAATTCCTTAGATCACGTTGACCTTCCTTTGTTTGACGGACGCGTCGCGAAACGGACTGTTCCTGATTGGGGGGAGGTTTCCGCTTTTCAGGGTCCCCATCATGGCAGGCACCTTTGGATGGCGACCCTCGCTTTGTTTGCAGAAGAGGAGGAAAAGGGATGGCTGATGCCAGACAGGCGGGAAAGACGCGAGCCCGACAAAACCTATCTCTCCAAGTCTCCTAACATCAACCCATCCTGGAGGCGTACTCAGGGAGCCATCCTTGGCGTCACGGCGAGATCACTGCACTGGGCACGGGCCTTGGTGGGGATCTCTCTCCTCAATTTAAGCAGCACCGACGTGCATCAGGACGGGGCGCTGAAAGTGTTTGCAGACATGGTCCGTGAGGCTAAGGCTGCGTTTTGGTCTCGAAGAGATTATGATAGAACCACGACGGATCTCTGGACTTCATTGGGGTCCGAGGCTGGTTTTCCAAAGGCACAAGGTGGCACGAAGACTTTAGAGGAACCCAGTTGAATGGCGCGGAAGATCACGGAAGCCCTGGGAGGCCATCGGAGGTGCGTCGAGCGCCGATCCGGATGAGGTCAAGGGCCCGTCGGCATAAAATTCCTGGTGCTCTGCGCTGTTCAGCGGACGTGAGGCACATGTCGACCTAGTTGTCTCGGCCTGTGTCAAGGGCGCGTCCAAGGCCCGGTGAGGTGAAGATCTTGAACCGAGTCTTTTGTCCTCTAGTCCTCTGGTGACTAGCACCACCACAGCAGACAAAGCTGTCGCGAGAGCCAGAGAGAGCCACAAAATTGATGACAGGCCTCGCAGATGGCTGCGCAGCAAGCTCAGCTCAGCTCAGAGTGCAGGCAGAGGTCGACGATTTGCAGCGACGCCGTCGGAGCCCTCAGCCGCAGTCAGCCGAAGGCGGGGACTTCCCAAAGCCTAGCGCACAGCGCAGCGCCATGGCCGGTGATCCGGGAGCAGCGAGCAGAGCATGATCCGCCGTGAGCGCAATGATCGGCTGTCGGTTTCTGAGATCGAGGAAGGCGAGGTTCGCTCGCTGGCCATGCGAAAGGCCATCTCACTGCTCCGAAACTATCTGTACAAGCAGGAGAGCTCCATTCTGAAGTCCTGGTTCAAGCACTTTGACACCAACATGAACGGCTTCATCGAGAAGCGGGAGTTTTTGCAAAGCCTCTCCAAAATGACCGGCGAGGCTCGGGAGATTTCCGACGAGCTGGAGCTCTTAGATTCGGAGAGCATCAGCTTACGTGAGATCCACGAGGGAATGGCGAGCCTCTGGAGCCGCTTCAGGAAGTTTTGTGGCACTGCTTTCTTGGGCCCCAAGGATTTGCTGGCGAAGCTCCAAGGGATCCGTTTGGAGTCCGAGGAGGAGAAGAGGTCCAACCAGCGAAAGCAAGATTTGGGCCTCTCCAGCTCTCCGAGCCTGCAACTGCATCTCGGGGGGTACTTGGAAACAGCCTTTTTTGAGTTTTTTGGGTGGCTATAATCTATAATCCTTATATATGAAACAGCCAAATAATATCATCATCTTTTGCAAGGGTGCCAAGTTCAGTACAGGAACATGCGCTTAGCAAGTCAGCCTTTGGTGGTGGACCGGGATCACTGGGAAGAGCGCCTGCCTCGCTGTGGCTGGGCCGGGGGCAACGAGCGGCTGCTCTTCGAAGCCCTGGACCTTCACGACGAGGGGCTACTGGGACAAAGGAACTTCTTCTGGCTGGACGCGGAGGTCCGACGCTTCGCCTTGAAATGTGAGGCAAAGCAGAAGGCTTCCGAGGATCACAAGGTCCGGATCGCCGCCAGGAAGAAGCGCCAAAAGGCCCTCACGGACTTCAAGGCTTACGTGAAGCGACACTTCGGGGAGAGTTATCACGCCTGGCGTCGGGCTCTTGACATTGATGGCACCATGAACCTGCAGAGAGCTGAGCTCTTCAAGGTCTGTCGCCACCTTGGCTGGAAAGGCGATGTGAAGTTGCTTTGGCAGGCCTTAGACTCGGATGGGGCGGGCACCTGCTCTTTGCAGGAGCTCGATGCCCGCTGTGCCCGGCAGCTGGCACGCTTTAGGCGTTGGGCGGAGGTGAAGTTTGGCATCCGACCGGCGCACGCCTTGTGGAAGGCGGTGGACCGACGTAACAAGTACCGGCTGACGCATGAGAGCTTCCAGAAAGAGTGCCTGAGATTGGAGGTGGATTTCGAGGAGAAGGAGCTGAGCGAGCTCACACGCTGGTTGGATTGGCAGGAGAAGAAGGCCATCACCTTGGAAGACCTCCTTTTCATGGATCTTTGGAAGCCACCCGCCTACTTGGTGGCTCAGCCGAATCCGGTGGCGGCCGAGGATATCCGGCAGATGCTGAAAGACAAGTATGGCCATCCTCTCCGTGCTTGGCGGCAGGCAATGGACAAAGACAACTCCAACACCTGCAACTGGTACGAGTTTCTGGCAGCCTCCCGGTCCCTGAACTTCACAGGCGACGTCGCGGGTGCGTGGCTGCATTTCGACAAGGATCTCAGTGGAGCGATCTCCCTGGCAGAAATCGATCCCAAGTCAAACGACATGATGGTGGAGTTCAAGAAGTGGGCCGACGGCGAGTTCGGCGGAGTTCGTGCAGCATTCCGCGTGCTGGACAAGGACAAGTCGGAGACGCTTTCCTTTGCGGAGTTCCGAACCTCCGTGGTGAGCTTTGGCTTCACCGGTGATGAGGTCACCTTGTTCAGGTGTCTGGACAGCGGACAGGGGAAGCTCCACCCACATGAGGTGCATTTCCTGGACGACTGGGACACCACCGCCCCAGACGCGGCTTCGGAGCCGAGCGTCGACTCGCTACAAACACGACCTCGCAGCCAAGGCGGTTGGTCTCGAATGACAAAAAGCGGCCGACCAGGATCGGTGCAGGAGTCCATCCTGGAGTTCTACACGGATGCGCCGGGGCCGGGAAGCTACGAGCTGCCTTCGGCTTTTGCAGCGAAGCCGAAGACGCCAACTGCCAGGCATTCTGGCACCTGGAGCTTTTGCAGCCGGCCGGAAGCCGCGTGGCTCCAGCAGCTCAAGTCTGTCGGCCCAGAGGCGGGGCTATCCCCTGCAGAGCCACGGCGGCGGCCGCCGTCTTGGACCTTTGCCCGTACCTCCCGCATGGGTCTCGGCAGGGCCGCATCTCCGGGGCCCGGGAGCTATGAGGTGCCCGTAGTGGAGACTCCGAAGTTCTCGATGGGTATCCGGCGGAATGCCAGGATGCATCCCAAGGCGTCGCCGCAGTTGACATATCCCGGGAGTCAAGCGAACAAAAAGATGCTCTACAGCTGCTGAAGCCGCAGTTTGCTCTCCGTTCGCTTGTGTCCATCATAGCTCATAGCTGTGCTCTCCATTGTACATAGGTGTGCCCCCTTTGTCAGCAGATCTGCTGTCATCTTGGGCCTCTGCATACTAGGGACTCGATATCTCGGCCACATTTACAAGGGCGATAGAAGTGTCAGAGCATGCTTCTTGGGGTTTTCTCTTTTCCTTCGTGGCCGGGAGAGAGGGCAGACCGACAGAAGCGGAGCACGACCCACTGGCAAAGCCAGCGTCGGTCGCGTGAAGTCCGCTCGAGAAAGTGTTCAGGAAGGCAAGTCTCACACAGAACAAAATGCAGGAGTGAGAGACATCTCTTGGGTACTTGAGTGAGTTATCTGGAGGGTGGTAACAGATTTCAGCACATTGGAGCTCGTCCTTTCCCCGGAAAGCCAAAGCTCCGACAGACTTGCGGTACCCTCTTGTCAAGACTGCTTTCGCACCTTCTGTTCTCAACCCGAGTTTTTTTCGACCTTGCTCTCCCAAACATTCCGAGTTCTGAGAGCTCCCCACGCAGGACAGACCCGCAAAGCGCAAAGATGCCCAAACGATCCCAAACGAGGCGCCGTCTCCTCAGCACCACACGCCGGGGCCTTGGAGAACCGGGCATCCTGCGAGAACGGGGCCGGAAATGGGCCGGAGTGTTCTGCAAGTCTGCTCAGCTCAATGAGTAAACAAAGCTCTCATTTGCCAAGGGGCCGCCTTGATGACGTCAGCAACTGAAGCTCGCTCCAGAAAGATGGAAGAAAGATCGGGCGCACGGCCAACATCAAAGTTTAGAAGTTACTAGCACTATCAATATTTCAGTACCAAAGCCAACACGAATGAAAAGCCAATAGCAACATCAATATCAATACATACATGCATGCGAACTACGTACGCACATGCATACAGAACCAGCACATGCATGAAAGTAGTTTAGCTGGCTAGAGTAACAAGAGACGGATGGGTAGAATAATGTGTCAGTGGATATAGGCTGAAGGCAAGCAGCCACCGATAGTGTCCAGTAGCTCGGCATTCAGCACTTCCAGCCAATTCCTCTGCGGAGCGAGAGCAAGACAGCCCGCGCGAACCATGCGCGAACCCTGATCGTGTATTATCCGCAGCCTTTGAATGGCTCCGAGCCATTCCTCGGTTGGCTTCCAAATGCAATGTTTTCAGTTCTCGCCGTGCCCTGAGCCCGCACTTGCTCATGGCATGCGTTGTCGAGGGAGTCGGCGGTATGCAGAGACAGATCGGATTCTCAGGTTCCTTTCATAACCGTCGTGCTCTGTGTTTTCGAAGCCTGGCCCCGAGAGTCTGTGATCCGCCGCGATGCGGAGACCGGAGTCCGCGAGCTACGGGAGATGGTCACATCTGCCCGCTCCGCCTGTTCCAAGGCCGGCGCGGTCGAGCGAACACGCACGCTCGTGAGGCAGCTGGTGATCCTGCGGAGTGAATGAAAGTCAAATGTTTGCAAGCTCCGCGGTCATGCCTGCATATGCTGCATAAGCCAAGGTTATGGTCTCCATGCATGCAAGTGTGCATGTAGGGAAGTAAGTAAGTATGTATGTATGCATGTGTACACACGTCCATGTGTGTATAAATTTGCCGAAACCTGCAGTGTGCTGTTGCAGACAACGCAGGCGGCATGGGGCCCTTGCCGAAGAGGCTGCAGAGCCTGGGGCTCGGCGTACAGAGTCCCAGCATAGTACGGTATAGTACCATAACATATAGCATAGTACAGCTCAGTACAGTACATTACAATATAGTATAGTATACTATACCATACCATCATTTTCATGGTATAGCATAACGTAATGTAATATCAGTGCATCATCATAGAATATGATACAAAGTAAGACAAGATAATAGACTGTACTGCGATATAATATAAAGTAAGACAAGATGGTGCAATATGATACGACAGAAGAGTCACTGTTCCATGTGCCACTCAGCCTGGTGGTCAAGTTTGGGCTTCGTGTCCTCGGCCGCACCCCTAAACCGCTAAAGTGTGAGTCGAAACCCCTACACCGCTAAAACCCTAAACACTAGTCTGAGGAACCTCGCCAAGGTAAGTCCGAGAGTGAGTGCTGAAACACTAGTCTGAGCCCTGTTTTCTGGGGCAACTTCAGGACTTATCTGACTGAGCTGGACTCGGATGCCGAGTCGGCAAGCCCCACCCAGGACCATGCTGAGGGAGGGGGCTATGCTATACCCAAGCCGAAGCGGCTCAAGGGGAAGTTCACGAAAAGCTGGAGCTTCGAACAGGTAGTGGCCTTCACAGTAGTGGGTTGTTCCTTGGCATAGGCTTACTGTTGCTAAGAAGGCTGCGACGCATTTTGGTTTTTTTCAACAGTCCAGCTGATTCCCGCTGTTCTGCTTCCTTGACTGGCATTGGCGAGGGTGAGAGTGGAGACCTTCAAACCGCCTTTAGCAGGTCGCCCTCCGGTTAACCTTGACCCTCTCATTCGTCTTCCAGCGAAGCAGAAACTGACGCCTTTTGAACGGTCAGTCAACGGTTGTGAAAGCACGGGAGGCGTCTGGGTTCCCCGCATGTGGATCGGGGGTCAGCAGTCGGCATCCTTCGTTGGTCTTGGCCTTGATTTTTTGTGGTCGAATCTCTCTCCCTCACTAGCGCGCTCGCTCGCTCTCTCTCTCTCTCTCTCTCTCTCTCTCTCTCGCTCTCTCGCTCTTTGTCTTTCTGTGCCTGGAGGAAGCTCGGTATAGTGGTGATACGTTGTGCCCCGTTGATGCCTTTTCTTCGGTGACCTGTGCCCCTTTGCCAGTCACTCCTCAAGTTCCACGAACTTGTCGCAGCGAGCGGGTTTCCTTGTCCTTGTGCAGGCCAAAGCAAGCAAGTCATGGGCTACAGCCTCAGACTTTGACTTGCTCTTTCATTCTCTTGCACCTACACGAGTGAAATGGTGCAAGCTTTTGCCGTGGTGGTATGCTTTTGTCATTGCAGGCTCCCTTGTTGGAAAGATTCATAGCACCATATTGTTTGTGTCACTTTTGTATCACCTTCGGACTAATGTTGCTAGCTGCTAGCAGCATCTTATGCATACAGTGTAAACAGCATAAGGGAAAGCCCAAAACATCCCTAAACCACCACCACGGAATTTCCAAAGAGGACGAGTCGAAACCCTACAGCGTTGCGAAACAGAAGCAGCAGGGTACTATAGACCGAAGCCTGAACGATTGCAGTTATCGTTGTGAGTAGTGTTATTCTACACCCTGAAACCCTATTTTGATTACTAGGCCCTCGTATTCAGTAAAAAGACCATGAACTGCTCAGGACTCGCTGCCGTGCGCTCCGCAGCAGTATGTTGTGCCTAGGGCTACTGTAGCGCACAATTAGATTCGGGACCCCGGCAGGCACAAAAGAGAAAATGTTGCGTCCTACCCACACTTTATGCGGATAGTTATTGGCTTTAAGTTATTTATTTATTTTTTCTGGGCTCCCTAGCATTGGTACGGCCAGAAGTTCAAGGCTGTCAGGGTTTAGGGTCTATAGTAGCTGGAATTGGCCAGGCGATAGAAGCCTATATTCAGGCTGCACCCTAACCCCTAAATCCTAAACCTCATCTTGGTTTGCTGAGCGCAGTTGATAGTATGAACAAAGGTTTCTTTCTAGTTTGTATATGTATATATGCATATATACATAGAGAGAGTACACGTAAAGGACATGTACTTTGTGGTATGCATGTATGTATGTTGGCACGGTATGTATGTCTGTATGTAGGTCCCTACAGAGGGTACACACACATACCTGCGTGTGTACGTATGTGTGTATGGGTGTATGCATGCATGCATGGATGGATGGATGGATGTAGGATGTATATGTGTCTGTCTGTCTGTATGTCTGTCTGTCTGTCTGTCTGTATGTATGTATGTATGTAGGTACACATATGTATGTATGTATGTATGTATGTATGTATGTATGTATGTATATATATATGTATATATATATATGTATATATATATATATTCAGATATGTGCTGTGAGCCTTGGCATATAGAGTTGCCGAGTGCAGAGTCGGCCAGGTACTCCAGTTTCGCTGGAAGCATCGGTGGCGAGAAGGTCAGGATGAAAATGCATGAGCGTTTTTTTTGCCAGCGTTTTGAAAGCGGTAGCAGATGACCAGTTCAGCTCTGAGCCGATATTTGGATGCAGGATCAGAATGCGTCGCTGAAGTCGCCAGTGGAGGGAGAGCTGGCCAACAGCAGCGAGAGCTCAGATCTGAGGAGAGATCAGGTGGAGGTGACTGGTGCTGGCACTGTCGTCGTTGCGAGAGTGCCAGCGCAAGCACCGATTGCTCCCACCGCCGCTCGACCGGAGTCCAAGAGCACCCGTCTCGATGTTTAGAGGTAGATGAGCAAGAAGTAGTTTGCGCCCGTTGCTTCCACAGACATACGTCCGAATCCTGCCCGAATCTCAGGAACGAGCTGCTCGAGCAAGCTCCGCCGAAGCAGATCTCGCGCAGGCAGGCTCTCCGAAAGTGGAAGCCGCTGTCTCAGCCCAGGCCGCCGTCATGTGGTTGCATACTGCGGTGGTCCCTGTCGACCATGCCATGACAAGCTAAAACTGCAGGTCCATCGCTTCGAAGTAGGAAGAAGTTCGCTCCAGCTGTGATGAGCCACCCTGCAACTTTGAGTCCTCACAGGATGACCCAAATCCGAATGGCCAGGGTCAGAGCGAGAGCAGCAAGGGCAGCAGTCGAGTCCCGCATGAAAGAAAGAGCGAAAGTCATGCTCGCCAGATAGTGGTTTCATCACTCGTGGGAAGCCTGAGAGCAGGAGAAAAAGCCCTAAACCCGAAGCCCTAAAACCCTAAACCCTGAACCCTAAACCCGAAGCCCTCTAAGCTGGATTGGTAAGGAGGAAAAAGGTGCTCAAAAAAAACACCCGAAGCCCTAAACCCTGGTTTCAAGGATTCAGATGGTAAGTCTGCCAGGCCGAGCACAGCTTGGAGTCAGTCGAGGCGTCAGCTTCTCAGTCTCCGGGAGATCCGCGAATCGAAGCTGCAGCTTGAAGATGGCAATATATGTTAGAATATACTATACAATAATACATGATAACATGCTACAATACAAGAGAATGTATCATACTGTACTAGGATATATTGAAGTTGTTGCAGGTTTCGTTGCAATTGTGCGCTAAGGCCTCCCGTGCCCGGCACGGGAAGGCCGCAGGCAGCTCCCGCCGTTTCCGCCGGGACCGGGACTGACACGGCCACAGCAAAACCAGCCCCGGCATCGCCACCCTTACCACAGCAGCCTGGGCCTGGCCCCTTGGCGCCTCTGCAGGCACGGCCCGTTAGCGAAGCAGAGCCTGCGCCCATTCAGATGCCACTGCCAGCCCAGACTCCCCGTGTCCTTGCCTCGGCAGAGCCGCAGCCCTTGCAAATGCAGACTAGCGACCCGGTACAAAGCTTGCCAGCACAGGCTGCCACAGCAAGGGTAGACGCTTCAGCCGCCACACAGCACCAGCTGGACAGCTCCAGCCGTGCGGGGGAGGCTTCGATTCAATTGCACGGTGATTCTCGGCAGTTGGCTGACATGCCTCCTGCAACGGTGCAAGAAGTGCGTCCAGCTGTGCCACTATCACCCGACGAGTCTGCCGTCGGAGGGCCTTTGAAACCAGCGGATGTCGGCACAATCCCTGCTGGCGATGGGGCAAACCCAGCCAAGCCAAATGCGGCAACTGCCTCGCCGGCCGTGCAACCTGAGCCCGTGCAGAGCGAGCAGCCGGCAAGCGTCCAGGCGCCAGCGCAGCCCCTGCTTCCGACAAGGAATTCTCCCTTGCTTGTTGCTGGAAATGCCACCCAGGAAGCTCCGGCACCTTCCGTTCAACTCGTGCGACCTCCACCGGCGCCACCGCCGGTTTCGGCAGAAGTGGACACGAGGAGTGTGCCGGTCAACAACTCGTCTGCAGAGCCGTTGCTGAAGAAAGCGGCGCCTGTGACCAGCGAAGCTGCGCCTGCCTCGGTCGTGGCAGGCCAGGTGGCAGCTTTGTCCGGAAGGCCAATTTCTGTTGCGCCCGCTGGGTTTCCAACATCAGCAACAGCGAGCAACAAGTCCACGATCACAACACTGCGCCCTGTCTGCAAGCCAGTAGGGGGGGGGGTCTCTTGAAGGATTCCACCGGTTAGCGCATGAGTTTGGACATGTTTACACACTGCGGCTTTCGATGCCAGTAGACTCAGTTTGGTGGGAACTAGACAGCTTGCAGCGGGAGGAAGGGCTATTTCATCCGAGAGCGTTTGCCATCCCATGTCAGGAGGACAGAGCCGGCCCAGCATCTATCGATTGCGCCAGCCAGCCTTGCAGAGCAAGCTGTCCAGGCCAGCCAGGTCCCACTTGCAGCAGGGATGCCTGCTACTGGCATGGCAACAATGCCAGCAGTGAATGGTGGTGCAAACGCTATGATGCCCATGGCGACCGCTCCTGTAGCAATTGCAGCTAATCCTACTACAACTCCAGCCCCCACCACAGCTGCACCAACTACCGCAGCAGCCACCACTGCAGCGCCTACCACTGCGGCAGCTACCACCGCCGCCGCTACAACCGTCGCGGCAACCACGCCTGCAAAAGAAGAAGGCGAAAATGAGAAGGACGGCGCCGCTCGGAAGTTATAAGTCATATTTATACGGCAGGCTTATCATGGCAGATGATGCTTCGTCATCCATCCAAGGACGGAAACGATGGGGGCCCTGAAGGAGGACACAACGGCATCCCAACTCAATTTCATTCACTCTCTCTCTCTCTCTCACTACTCTCATTCTCACTCTTACTTTCACTCTCTCACTTTCACTCTCACTTTCGGTGTCTCTCTCTCTCTCTACTTTCTGTGTGTCTCTCGCTCTCTTTCTGTAGACGATGCCGGGTGCTGGATGCTGGACAGGGCTTTTCAGAACAGCTACGTAGAGTGTGCGAGTCCGAAGCGCTTGGATGTCTTGTGAGCCGGGAGTATGCAGCTAAGCCCGAATCCAAAACCTTACACCCTAGAGTCCGAAACCCTAAACCTTACACCCTAAACCTGGATGGGGAAAAAAAACCCCAAACCTTAAACCCTAAAGTCGAAACCTTAAACCCTAAACGGCCTTAAACCTTAAAAACCCTTAGAAGTCTCTCGCCATCCGGAAGTTTCAGGCAGCCATGAAGTCGTTGCTGTTGGCTCCGGCCGTGCCGAGGAGGCTCGGCTCCCAAGCTTTTGCGTGGTGTATGAGCATTATTATTACTACAACAATAATGATTACTATGATTGTTATTGCTATTGTTATTAAAAGTTATTAGTATTATTCTTATCAGTATTATTATTTGTTGTGATTGTTATTATCATTATTATTAACCAATCAGCAGCATTATTCTTCGTCTGATTCTTAGTAGAAAATTGTTATGATTGCTACTATTGTATGATAGCTGGACCCGTAGACTACAGACTGGCCAAGTGTCACGCAAGAGTGAGCTATTGGCCAACTGAAAAAGCAACGGGAGCCAAGACTCCACTTCTGGCAGTAGACAACATAGATTTTGAGCGCGGGCTGCTGCATACCCAGCTGTAGGAAAACTCAAGCTACTTCGTATGTGCCCTGACATGAGGGAATCTACGGTGAACGCACCGGAACGGCTTCTGATGTCTGAGAAACGCACAGACTTTCATCGTTCTTGCTTTGTCACCATCCGCGGCATTCTGAATGCTCTTCTCATCGCTACGGCTCTTCACAGCTCCATCTGCCCAAGGCCGCCCTCGATAACAGCAGTGCCGAGGCTACCGGAGCCGACGGTCCCAAGGCTCTCAAGAGTTCTTTGGAGCACATGACCCCGCCTTGAGCTTTTTTTTGGAAAGCTGCTGATGCAGGCGAAAGTCATGGGAATGGATCAGCAGCTGCTTCTTACCGGTGTGGCGGCCGTGGTGTTGCGTCCTCAGAGCTGGTCACTGCCTTGTTGATTCCGATTGCGCGGCTTATGTGCCGATTGCGCTGCCAAGGCTCATCGTGGTGGTGCCGGTAGGCAGAACCCTGGGGATGCAGAGAACGGAAAGGGGATGCATTCCGCCGTCCAAGCGTGAACGAAGCAGAAGCCGGGCAGGTGTCTTCTGCTGCTGCTGCCGGAGAAAGTAGCCCGGTGCCGTCGTGAGAACTTCAGGCGAGGTAGCCATCCATCCATCCACTCATCTGCGAATCTGTGCGTGCTTGCCCCCGTGTGTGCGGGTGTGTGTCACATCGGTTTTCTTTCTTTGCGTGCGAAAGCACACGCAGCACATCCCTCTCCCTCTCACTCTGACTCTCCCTCTCCCTCTCCCTCTCCCTCTCCCTCTCCCTCTCCCTCACTCTCACTCTCCCTCCCCGTCTCTCGCTGTCTTCAAGTCTTCATGTCAAGCGTGGTGCTCATGTGAGACTGAACGATTGGCTTTTGATGGCTTTTGCCGAAGACGTAGCGAGGTGCCAATGGACTGGTTCACCGACTGAGCTTCGGGTTTGGTTGCAGACTTCTTTGCTCGTTGGCTCTACGGAGCCTCTGCCAACAGGGCATCTGGCTGTGACTATCTTGTATGATCTTAGATACACGAGCTGTGACGATGGACTAATCCGGCTGCAGTCACATCACACGGCCAAAGTCTAACAATAATCAGCTTTGAATGGCAGTTTCCAATATGGCTACCATCAGGTTGGACGTTTGCTCAGCTCAGCTGCACTGCTACTCGAGTATTAGATTCCGTTGTACTCTTAAAGCCAGAGAACCCGGTGTATCATAAGTCATGTTCACAGGCTGATCATATAGCACGAAGAACTGCCGAGCTTCAAGTTATGTTGTTGTGACAGGCGAAACTGTTTGTTGTCGCATGGCCCGTTGTATTGCATTTGGCGTATGCTCCACAATCCTGGTGGTCCTAGTACTGCATGCCAGGCTGTGTGCTAAAGTGTCCCGCAGTGTAGAGCGAGCATAGTGTATTGCAGCGCTTTGCGTTCATGTCATTGTGCTTTCACTTTCATGGCAGTATGAAGCAGCACGTAAAGAGTGCGCGCTGAAGTCTTCAAGCTCACTCCCCTATCACACGCAACGTAGCCGCTACGTCGTAGTATGTCTTTGCATAAGATTCATGGTCGTTATATCGCATGTCACATCCGCAGACTGTATCGTTGCGCTGAATTGTGCTGGACTTAGCCGACTCATTGCTCAGAGCAGAGCATCCAAACGGCCGCTGCTGGAGAGTTTGCTCGGGGTTTGAGGTTTAAGGTTTGGGGTTTAAGTTTAAGCTTGTGTTTTTTTCTTTGATTGCTCGTCTGATCTTTTCTGCCATGTCGGCGCTAGGCGTTGTCTGTGTACGTAGGAGCTGACTGTTCTCTAAATTACGATCCCTTTTAGGGTCCTGTTTATAAGGGTGCCGCTATTTCGAGGACCCTAGTTTTAGAGAACTACCCATATGAGCTCCACCTGACATGACCCTTTCTAGCTCTGGAAGATGCTCCAGGGATCCTCGGCTACTCGTCTCTGTTTTGGTCTTTTCGTGTGCCAGTGGCAAAAAAAGGAAGTTGCTAGGGGCATACCCACGAAGCTGGCCTGGAGCGAAGTATCTTTGTCATGTCGGAAACGCTCGTATGCAAGAGCATATGCGGAAGTACCGCGTTCGGGCCTCCAGCATTTGTTTGGCGGCAGGCTGCCTGGCGTTGTGAAGCAGCAGCGCTGAGTTTTTCTGTTGGAGGTGTGAATCAGTACAGCGACTTGTGGGGTTTGGGGTGTGCTGCCAGCACAACGGCTCGAGACAATGCCGTGTAGACAAGGAGCAATGCCATCGTCGTAACAGAGCCATGAAGTAAAGATAACCAGATTGAATTAATTAAGCGACGCAGCTGGTCAACGACCTGATCGCCAGTGCAGAGTAGCAAGTTTTGAAGAAACGACCGGACCTTAAGGTTAAATCAAGCCTAGTCCAGTCGTGAAACATACTCAAACAGTCTACCTATGTCTACCTAGTCCAGTGTCTTTGCCATACAGGCTTTTGGCAGAATTTGAGCGGACTGCTATCATGTTCGTCACCAAGTTCTCTTCGGGGGCCGGCATGGCCCTACCCTCAGCATCTCTTACCCTCATCGGCTTCTCAAGACTTTCGGTGTAATGTCGAGCAGCTTCACAGAGCCATGCATGAGCCCGTGAACGCGAATACTGAATTGACTATCAATTCCGAAGTTGTGCCGAAGATGGTGGTTTTCAGGATGTCTCGGGTGCAGCAAGGCTTGAAGTAAGTGTTCCGGGCCAGACCGGATGTTGCCCTAGATTCGTAGTTGATTTTGCGGAACCGCTTGCAGCGGCTAGAGTCCAAACCCGAGCCTTAGGTTCACCCAGAGAGCCCAATACCCCTTAATCAAGGAATATACCTTAAATCATCCTATAACTTAGGGTATATTCCTTGTTTAAGGGGTATTGGGCTCTCTGGGTAGAGTGTGTGCAGAGACGTCCAACGAGTTTGCTTCAAGCGTGACTGAAGGATGGCATGCGCACGCTCGAGGCAGGCAAGAGCTCAGGTCAATAGGGTTAGGGATTGCTTTGTGCCAAGAAGTTTTTTTTCTCCGAATTATCTTCAGCTTAGTCTTTGGCTGCTAGATTCTATACACCGTTTTGCCCTGATGTGCTGCATCTGCTTTTTGACGCTGTACTACGCCATCTGCAACCCGGACCATATCGAAAGATCGAAACAGCTGTCGGAGTCTAGAGTGGGACTGCCTTATCTGCCTTTATTGCTCTACGACGTGCTTTCTGCGCCATGTGCCCTACGATGTGCCGCAGTATGACATGCAGCACTTGACACTTTGTGATGTTGGCATACTGTCGCTTAGAGAGTGGTCTCCTGGTATAGCTAGCAGCTAGGGCAGGCCTCGGAGCCAGCATCTGTTGTTTCCACTACCGCCGCTCTTGCATCCTAAGCCCACTTGTGAGTGCTGAAACCCACAACCCTCTCCAGCTTGTGGCTCGATGAAATGCACAAATTCTTGGGTTGGCAGAGCCAATGGCTGAAGGCTCAAAATTTGTGACTATCGCGCCCGATGGTGGCGATGCGACTGGTCCCAAGTCGGTGATTCCTGATTCCGAGCTTGATGCGTTGTTGGATGAAGTAGCTGCAAAGCCACAGAAGCCAAAGTTTTCGACAGTATCCAGTGTTGGCGGCCAGATGCAGAAACTGGCGCAGGAAAAGGCTCAAGAACAAATCAATCAGATGCAGCTATCGGCCAGCGCGGTCAGCATCAACAAGTTGTCTGCCAGAGAGTTGCAGCTGCTCATAGGGGAGGTGGAGTTCAGGGGCTTGGGTACTGGTGGTCACCGTGCCAAGTCCCTCCAGAGATTAAGTTGCAGATGAAATCTTGCGCTGGATGTTCGTTCGCCAAGATGGACGGCTTTTCAAGCCTCCAAGTCTGTGACTGCCTTTCTATGGGGGGGAGGAGTCACTACGTGAACTGGGCCAATTCACCAACACTTCGAAACCGAGAGGTCTGGGCCACGGCCACTGGCACCGTAGAGGTTTGGCAGTTCAGATAGAAGTCCTCAAGGAAGGTGTTGGTTCTTCAAGTCTTGACCTATTTTCTGACCACAGTACTGGCGGCTGCAACCCCGCTCGGCTAGGAAGCTTGGATACCAGTGCTGGTGTCCCTCATCTCCTTTGGCAGTGGGATTATGGAGTTTGAAGCTTTGTCGTCTCAACTACGCAAAGTCAATCAATCGCTGGAGTCGCTCAAGAACCTTCATTTCTGGTGGCAGAGCCTCTCAATGGTCGAGCGGCGAATGCCCTCCAACAAGAACGAACTAGTAGCTTGCACAGAGACGACATCTGGGCAGTTCTCTAAATTAGGATCCCTTTTTATAAGGGTGCCGTACTATACTGGGGACCTAAAAAGGGACCCTAATGTGCTGCACGTTGCGTCTGAGGCCGCTACCTGTCGACTGAAGACAATACAAGCCGGTTCTGGTGAATTTAAATGATGCAAAGAAAACTAATAAGGCGGAATGCTA